CTAACTGAATTTTATGTTTAAACTTGGGTTCCACCCCGTAGGTATCTCATCATGTGTGTGAGAATGTTCAAAAATCCAAAAATATCTGAAATCTGAAATACTTCTGGGACCAAGCATTTTGTATAAGTAATACCCAAGGTACACCACAGTACTTGTAGCCCCAGATGTCCCTGACACGCATTCTTGGTGCATCCTCTGACATCACTGAATGGGACAGCCGGCATGGTCATAACCTGATGGATAATTTGTAATTTATATTTTTATTTTCTAATTAATCAAAGTTAAAGTCATGATTAGCTTTTTAATATTCTTTTTGTTGTTTATTTACTCAATGTATAAGGTGAACACCATCCACAAAATTTCATTGTCTTGGAATTTATAGATTTACTTTGAGACAAATTTCTAATGACTATTCATTTACATTAAAAAAGAAACAAGAATTCTCTTTCCATATAGCAACCTTGCTAATTAAACTACCCAAATTCTTTATATCTGTTCTTACTTTTTCCTTTCACCTCTTGAGTTCTAAGTCAGTACCTATGATTATGACTTTGTCAATTTTTTTCATTGTATTTCTATTTATTTTGCTCTATACAGTTCTCAGTTATATTGTTAGGAACATAAAATTCATGACTACTGAACTTGGTGAATTCTTCCTTTTTATGAGATATCCTTTAAAATTATTTTTGCCTTTAATTCAGTTGTGTTATATAACTACTCCTACTTTTGTTTTTGCAGTGTTTGTAAGGATGGCCTTTTTCTATCTCTTTATTTGAACTTTTCTGATTTGTCTTGCTTTAGGTGTTTCTATTCTAAATGTAATAACTAGCATTTAAGTGTTTCTTTTGCTTAACTTGAACATCTTTAAGTAGGTAGGTTTAACTCTTCTGTACTTTCAAATACTACATGTAACTCGATTTCCCCCATTTTTGTCTACTTGCCATAACTTCTTTTTAAAAAATTGCAAATTTAGTTTTTTCTTCATATTGTGAGCTCTCTGTACAAATAACTGCAATTCAAAGCCTCTGCAGCCACCACTTAGGGTTTTTTTTTCCACTCATATTTTTGTTATTTCTTGTTAATTTTTTAATTAACAATTATACTTTTTTATTATTTCTTTTGTTAATTTCTTGTTATTCTTCACACCCCAGGGTAGCTTTTAGTTATTATTTTATTAAACATCTTTTTCCAAAGCAAAAGTCATATATTACATACAGTATGTGGTGGTAAGACGGTACCTTGGGATTTCTTAGTTTCCTTTTCAGTACTTTGCTCAACACTCTATCTTCCTATCACCCTGTTCACCTACTCTCTCATCCTCTCTCTCTGTTTTTGTGGTCATGGGGGTGGAACCCAGGGCCTTGTGTATCTCAGATAAGCGCTTACTACCTCAGCTACACCCCAGCATTACCCCATCCTTTCTCCCAAAATGCATATACTCCAATCACACCTATTTATTTTTCTTCTAGACCCTGTTCTCTGCTAATGTCTCTGCTTGAAAAGATCTGAAATCCATCCACGAAAAATAACTAGCTAATAAATGCCTTGTTGGTAGTGGCATTTCACTGGAAGACTTGAAGATGGACAAGCCTTACAAACCCAAAGGAATCAAAGTGGAAAGGCCTACATCAGCTGAGCTGGATTCCATTTCTGCCCTGTACCAAGGAGCATCTTACTTCACCTTTCTATGCCCTGGTATTCTTGCTTGTAAAATGGAATATAAGAGCACAACCTCAAGAGTTTTAAGAAAAATTGCTGGTAAAGCTCCAGAGATGTTAGCATTTGCCATAATTCTAATAGATTTAAAGAATACTTTGTAAAAGGTTGAACTTGCTAAGTTTTCAACTCAATTTTTTGTGAAGATACACTGGTGAAAACAGAAGGGAAAAAATACACTGCACTTGGTAACATTTAAATTTGGAGCTATTATTATTCATCTTTGCAAAGGTAGCTCAGTGCCCACAGTACCTTGGCCATAGCAACTACTCCAACATGTCGCTGAATGGCAATAAATAAATAAATAAATAAGGATTGATATCTAGATTTCTAAAATAACATGAGAAATGATGTGGAATAGATTATCTGCTATCACTCAGTAAAAAGTACAATAATTTAAAATTTCCAAAAGCAATACTATAAGGTACAGGTACAAACATCAGATAGATAATATCTATGCTATGAGGGATATAACCAAAAATGGTGACCTCCCTACTCTTGAGCTGCTTATTTTGCCATGGGGAGGGGTGAAGAGTGCTCCGGCAAAACTTTCTTTAGCATTGCAAATTTATTGGTCTGCATTATTAAAACTTCATCTCTGAAAATGAAGAAAATTGGCTTACAGAAGAGGCAAGCTATTGGTGTGGTAAACAAAGGTGTGCCTGGTATGCAGGAGGATTACATTATTTCTTACTTCACCTGTATTTGTAGCAAACAATTTTGCTTTATTAGAGTAAGAATCTCCAGTTAATTTATGGCTTTATATTTCATTCTCTAGAGAATACTGATTTCATAAAAATGAATACAATGTGATACATGCTATTAAAACAAAACTTTCACTTTAGGAAACATCAGCAAAAATAGATCAGCAGGAATATAACTAATTATATATAGCACAACAATGAAACCAAACAATCACATATAATAATCTTTGCATTTGACATCTCGGAAACAGCCTAAGGGAGCTTGACAAACGCCAATACAGTGCTTCTGGAAAGTGATTAATATATGTAAGTGATGACACTCGTCAGTCATAACACTTCTTTAGTGTTCATTCTTTATGAGTTAAGACTCAAGTAGAGGAACAAAATTGACCAGAGATGATGAACTCTAAATCTGTGGAACAGAGTACATTTGAACTCTTGTCTTTGACCCTGGAGAGAGGACCATGGGAAAAGAACCTACACCATGAATTCTTCACTTACTTTCAAAATGGAGGAAATGGCCAGATAGTTCTAGAAGGTCTTTCTAGTTTTAACTTTCCATGATTCCAAAGTCACTGATGCCAGTTTGTCATCATGTTGTAAAATGAAAACTCTAACAATACTAAGTTGGCAGTGGGGTTGAAATCAGCTCCACCTATACAAATATGATAAAAACAATTCTCTACCTTCTGAGCCCCATGACAGCCAAATCCTCAAACTAACGAACTATAACAAAAGGCTTCAGGAGAAGAATAGCTGGTTCTCCACAATACATAAACTCAAGAGAGAAAGTTTTAAAACCCCCCAAGTCATAGTTTCAGAAGAGCTACAATGAAGAATTGCGGGGAAATCTTTCTTTGGTAAAAGAATATGAAGAATTCACTAACGGAAGAGACCAGGTGCATATATAAACTATGATACATAATTTGAATTTTTTCAGCACTGGTGATTGAATCCAGGTCCTCTGACTGAGTTACATCCCTAGTCTTTTTTAATTTTTTAATTTTGAGACTGGGTCTTGCTAATTCACTAAATTGCCCAAGCTGAGCTTGAACTTGTGCCTCTTGCCTCAACTTCGAAAAATGCTGGGATTACAGGAATATAATAATTTTTAATTTTGACTGTTCTCTGCGAACATGCACAAAGTACACACACACAATTAGAAACCTGTCTAAACTATATATACGTTTAAGGTCCACATGGATATGGGAGGCTCTCTGTTGCAAACTTGAACAAGGTTTATCACGGAAGAAGTTGGGATTCTGCTTACTAATGTTGACTCCTACTTTATAATCCAGAAAGTCCACCTCTTTCACATAATCACAGAAGCCACAGATGTCTGAGCCCCTTTAAAGTACTTTATCTATTTCTTACTTTTTAAAATCAGATCACTCTGTCTTTTAGTTCTGAAAGACTGAATAAGGGGTTCTCATCTCTATTTGAAAATCAAGTAGATTTTATCTCTTTGAATCTGAGGTCTAAATTTGTCCTTATTTCTTCTTAATATTTTAACATAATTCCTAACAACTGAATTTATACAACTTTGAATATTTAACTATGATTTACATTGTAGAAATTAATCTAATAAACATGAATGTGCAAATCAAAATTACTCTGAAAATGTCAGGTTTTCTTAATAAACATTCTTTCAATAAAGTGCTAAAATGTTTCCTATTTAATAGTAATTTTGATTTTCAGCAAGGGCGTGCTCCTTGGAACATTTGCATGTTTAACCCATACCCTTTATGCAGAAAACTCTTGTCTATTGTCCATCTCTCACCTTTGAGGATGCAGGCTCTGTACCAGGAGGGTTTTTTTTTTCCTCCTGAGAAACTCTAATGCAGAAGAAATGGCATCACTATTATGTATTTGGTGGGCTATGCCTATGTATCATTTGTATTATAAAACAATAGATTTATATTTGTCTTCCCAAATATAAAATTATTTTAATATTGAAAAGAGTAATTTTCAAATTCTGCAACATCCTCTTTTCCCATTCCTCATGAGACTTTGACACACTTCTTCATGGAGGCAAGATATCTCTCTCCTGAGAATCACTGAACTAGAACTGAATTAATTACTATTCAGGATGAAGCTCAAGAATGAAGTCTGAGGGCATTAAACTGAATACAGAAAGAAATTTTACTAGTGGAAAATAGCATGGAACAATATTACAATATCGAACACTTTCTGATTATTAAACCAAACTATTCCAACTTTACAGCTGAAAACTAATTCAGGGACATGTTTTTAAAAATGGCCTGCTGTGGGCCGGGGATTTAGCTCAGTGGTGCTGCCGGCCTGCCTCACAAGCACAAAGTCCCGAGTTCGATCCCCGG